TTTGATTTTAACCCACCCCTTCGTGATGACCTCTAGACCTATGTTCCGTTAAATTGACACACACATTCATCTGAGAAGAGAGTTTGGCGCTTTGAGAGTGAAGATGATGATTCAAGATTCGCTTGAAATGACAATCACCTTATTTTGCTTTTGACGGATGTTAGTGGCCTTTTGAATCTTATTTTTCTTTGAGGATTTGAGGACCTCTTTCGATTTTGAATTTCTTTTGATCCCTAACTTTTGCCTAGACTGATTTTGTTTTTCGAGTCCACCGGGATTGCCATGATTTTGCCTATGTCTCCTCTTTAGGATTTTGACTTGGCGGTTTTTTTTCTTGTTTTGGAAAGGCTTGTGACTGCCAAGTCATTGGTCATTAAAGAACAACCTCCATATCTCTTGAATTTTTCAAGGTTTTTTTGACACGTTAGGATGTGTGCAAAGAGTAGTATAGGAATGACGCTCAGGCGAGATGCTTCATCTTGAAATCGAATGTATAGTCAGATTAACTGAATACTACTCATGCCCCAGGTTAAGCATAAGGGTTTTAGAAATCCGAAAAAAACTCCTACTTCGAGGCTCAAAGTGGTTAACTCCTTATCTCTCTAGTGTTTAGGGAATTTAAAACAATGTCTATACATCATCCGCAGAATTCTATATGAAAGCATACCAACAACAATTGTGGGTATTCAGTTTTCGTCATCCTCCCTCTAATATTTGCTAAAACAACAGTTTGATAACAACCGTTTACTAATCATGTTAATTGTAGTGTTTATGTTGTGATGTGACATAATTCGAAATGTATAGTTGTTGATTGATATGTTTAAAGTTGTTGTTGATGATGTTGTTGAGCTACTATAGCATTGTTGTTGCATGGTGACTAGTATTGGTGTGGTATAATCATTAAGATGAATATCATTGTACGTTATATTGTTGTTGTTGTATTCTAAGGCATGTTTTTGTTATTGGTCTGCAAGGACATGTTGCACTGTGATTGATCATTTTTCTTGTTGTTGTCATGCATTACATTGATTGTATGAGTTGGAAGATAAGTCGTGTACCCATGTGGGGTGTGAGCATCTTATCTAGATTTTGATTGTGGAATCGAATCGTTGATGTTCTTGTTGAGGTGGTCGTGTGCCCATGTGAGGTGTGAGTGATCACGGTGATTCCTGTGCCCATGTGGGGTGTGAGCGATCACAGAAGTCGCGTGCCCATGTGGGGTGTGAACGAAATTTATTGAATTCAGACAGAAATTGTGGTTCTGAAATAGGGATCGATGGCACCACATGCATTGAGTCTGGTTGTGAGTCTCATTGCATTGCATAATGGTTGCATATGTTGTTGTGTGAATAATGTATTGTATGTTGGATGTTGTTGTGGAATGGGTGATATACATGATATAATATTTTGCCTACTTTTTATCATGCTTTCTTTTATATAATTATGATATCTCACCCCTTCTGATTGAATGTTGCCTCCATGCGGGTAACGTGCATATAATCCATAGTAGGAGCTTAGATGTGAGTGGAAGATGAAGTCTTCCATTTATTCTTTTAATTTTGCATCTGCTCTGATATGTAACACTAGGGCTATGGAACGTCATGCTTTCTTATATTTTGTTTGCTTGAGATTTTTTATATCTCTTAACTTTGGTTCTTTTATTTATATGAAAATCATGTTTATGCTTGGAATAATCATCTTGTTGATGTTTCCGTTGTTTTAATAAAATTTGAAGTTTAGATAATCTTTTAGTATTATTATTGATGTTAAATGATTTTAAAAGTGATGTGTTGCATATCATGTACATGAGCAAGTTGTTGTTGGAGTGTAACATCCTAAATAGGACTTTTGTTATGAATACATACTCTAATTTTATTTGATTATGCGCGAGGTTATTTAGGGTGTTACATGGAATATATGTGGATGGGTGAAGATGGACACCTGATATTTTATGAACACCATGAGAATTGGTTTGATATTTGGTGAGGTACTTTTGTTCCAAAAGACCTATTTTGTGAGGAGTCTTGCTTTGAAAGTCCTATTTTTTGTTGAGACCTAATCAAGTATTCAAATGTGATTGTGCACATACCACTTCAAAGGCTTAGGTAAAGCGGTTATTGAGGATGTGACACCAATGGTTCATTCCTCAATCGGGTTTGAATCCCAACCATGATGGACATGGGGGAAAGGTGGACACCTAAGTGGGTTATAGTCTCATACGGTGAAAGACACCCTAAGAGGTTAGACTCCCATACGGGTGACAGTTGCATGAATTGAGTTTAAGTCTCATAGAGGGCCTGATATCCACCATGAAAGTCGAATCATACGAGCATGCATGAATCAAGCCTGTATTAGACGTAGGTCTATTTGGGGATTGATGTTTCGTGAAGCTGAATAGTGATTATTTTAGTTGCTAGAACTTAGTGACATATTTCAATATATTGTGAATATCCCTTAGACACTTAAATCTTCGTTATCTTGTGTTAATAATGCACAAGTAACGAGAGATGAAGACTTGAGTTAGGATTCAATTAGAAATCCCTGTAGAGCCAAGTGGACCCATAGGATAGGAGAACTCACTAAGATTATTATCTCACCCTAATATTGTTGTTGCTTTCAGGTGTTGTTTGCAGATTATTTATATACAAGAGGACTTATGCATTGATGTTTTAAAGGATGTTGTTTATTGTGATATTCCACTGTGGAGTGGTGTCTAATCAAGACATTTTACATAGTTCTTAATTTTATATTTTAGGCTTTATTGTATAACATGTGTCATAGATGTATTTAGTTTGGACATGTGTATATAATGATGCCATTAGGCTCTTATGTTCTGTCAATATCTAAAATTAACACTTGTATAATATTGTTATATATATATATATATATATATATATATATATATATATATATATATATATATATATATATATATATATATATATATATATATATATATATATATATATATATATATATATATATATATATATATATATATTATCATACGAGTTGTTACAAAAAGTTTGACATAAACTTCTAGTGTGAAATCTCTGTCCAAAAGAGAAACAACTAGAAACGTTTACTTTAGATGACAAACATTTTTGTACTTCCTTATCCACTACGTCAAAATTAATCTTCTTACTATTTTTAACTTCTTAATGGAAATGGTTCTAACCTCTCACGAGGAAATGATTTTTCTCATGCCATATGAAAGAGTTCTTTTTGAACTTTTGTCTAAGTTACGGTTAGTTAAAAGGGTAAAAAGAACTGGATTAATTGTTGAAGTTAAGTGGACTCAAAAGTTTGAATATGTGAAATAGTTATTTGTTGTCCAGTTTTTTTGTAATCAGTAATTGATTATCAATAAAAAATTTCCTTTCCTTTTCGATCGTATTATTGCCTAATCTTTTTTTTTATTGATAACAAAGATTTATAGTTTTACTAATTAACTTAGAAAAAAATGAAGAAAAAATATAACAAAGAAAACTGGGATTTAGAAAGGCGCCAAGTGAAAAATACAAATTAAATTATTGAAAAAATATAAAAATAAAATAACAGGGATTCGAGGTGACCTCCTTAATATTTATATTCCCTCGGTTTTCACAAAACACCGAGGCAATATGTTATATTAAAAATAAAATAGTGCTCCCTTATAAATATATTTCCTCTGTTTTATGGAAAATCAATGTAATAGATTGTTAGCTTGACGCTACCAAGAACAATACTCTCGGTTTTTAGCATATTTGAGGTGAAAGTTTGTTATAAGAAATGCCATTTGTAGTAGTAAAAAGAGTAAAGTTCCTTTTACTAATACACATAATATTTGACAGTTGAAAAATAATTAAGGTAAATAAAGTTCCATTTATTTCATACTAGAATATAAGTACCTAAAGAAAATAATTAAATCATATAAAATTAATAGCTTAATATTTTTGGAATTGAATATAAATTCAATATCAAATAATAATAAAAGAGGAATGAATACCCTAATATTTGTCTGAATATTTTGAAACTGACTTAAACAAGTTTAATATTTGCAACCCAAACAATATCTTGTAAATTAGAAACAAATTAGAAATTAGATAAATATATTTATGAAAAAACGAAAGTCAAACATTAACCATATCTTAGAATTAGTAAAAATGAACATCGACAATATTGATCGAAGAAAATGCACCAATGTAGCTAAGATCAAAAAGAGATGCTCAAATAAGATCAAACTGTTATGATAAAATATGTGTGAATCACAAAAAGAGATTCTTTAAAGCAATATTATCTACATGATTGTGTGATATTTGATTCAGAGAAAAAAATACTTCAAGTACTAGGTTTTGAGAAATCCATGAGCAATTTTGAACAACAAAGTAACAAATTTGAAAGTTGAAGAAAAGATTTCAAGATCTTAAGCATGTAAGACTTCAAACAAACTGAGACATCACAATTACCAACTTCAACATTGACTCTCACATATTTATACAAACTATTACATTATTACAACATTAGCAAAAACTATTTTATACAACATCAGAAAAAAAAACTATTTAGCTCATAACAAATTTACAATGAAATTTGCATATATAGCATGAATCCTTTTACAATAAAATAGACTCTTTCTTGCAATATTAAAATATTAAAATAGAATTTAATTATGCAAAAACTTTTAATGAATTTACCACCAATCCTCATCGTTATTCGCTAGCCCACCTTTTTTAACACCCAAAACCAATGTTTAAAGACAAAGAAGAATAAAATTGATTCATTTAACTTTAAAAGATTAACAAAGTTATTTAGAGATAGTGAAATATAAATAAATAAGATGCCCCTTATTTGAACAGATACAACATGGAATTAAATATTGAGATAACATTGAGATTCAGTCCTAACCAAGTCCCATAAATAAAATTAGTTAAGTCTGTATGCTCTAATTGAAAATAATTAAAACATCATAAAAAATAAATATTTATAAAGGTATCGTAAGGCCGATCTACACCAATAGATCAAAAGAATCCAGAGGGTTCATATCCGTAACTTTGACACATATTGTTGAAACCAACCGAATGGGGTTGCATTATAGAGTTTTGAAATTTTTGTGGTTGAAAGTTTTGAGCTTGTTGAAGATTTCCTTGATGATGGAGAAGCATGTTAGAGTTAAAACCATTTCCAACAAAAAATGGAATAGTTTGGGTAGGTGCTCCCTGAATTACAAGCCTAGCATGATGTGCAACAAGTTTCTTAAGTTCCTCTAAAGCCTTCTTAAATAATTCAAGTTGAGTCATATTCATCCTATCAATGGAACAAGTCCACCAAAACTGAGCCTCGGTTACCTTGCGTAAATAGTTTAACTCATCACCACACTTCTTCTCAATGTCTAACGTATTGTTGATTTCAGTTAGTTGTTTACTGAGATCACGCAAAATGGCGCCACGATGAGCCTCGATGAATTGCATGGTGTCAATGTTTTGAGGTGAAACACGTGATAAATAACGATCTATGACTGTATCAACATGTGGGTGACCAAAAGAAAACACTTTCTCACTAGGTGAGAATACAACGAGAGCAACATCTGCATCACAAAGTGTACAAAGTTCACTGGCTTTTTTGAAGAGCCCACTGCGACGCTTCGAGAAAGTCACTTGCAGGTTGCTCTCATTACTCATTTTTTTCATCTCAATCTTTTGGCGACCACGACCTTTCCTTCCCATTGACATGGTTGAAATTCAAAAAGAAAGAAGAGAAAAGAATGTGATGAATGTGTTTGGAACTTCAAACTAAGAAATGACACATTATAGTTTAGTGCATAGATGTTGTTTTATAGCCAACTTTTACGTGAATAAATTTTCCCTCGAATTTGAATTTGTCTAAAAAACTGAACCGAGATCTTTTCCAAACGTTGTAACTTTTCGTTACATTAAAATATTTATTTTGATATTCATCAAATCTGTTTTTAGATTATTTATATGGTAGGAAATTCAATGAAAAAAATGACCCTATTTTTTCATTTTGTATATATCTTAGCATATTGAACACCTATTGGATATACTGTACGTTGATCATTCATGAACTTGCAGTTAAATGTTCATTAGAATGGTGCTATTTAAATTGTTGCAGTGAAATCTGATATTTTTATACGATTAGGGTATTTTCACTCTACTTTTTTCTTAGGCAGGAAAACATATACAATAATTATTAAATATTATATATTAAAACTTCAAAATAATTATTTTATATTTTAAAATGAAAAAGAAAAGATAGAAAATACTTGCTTTTAAGAATTTTCTAAATAATATATTAAAACCATTTAATTTTTAATATCAAAACAATAAATTTTTTATATTGATCACGTAATATAATTGCGTGGAAAAAGAATGAAAACTATTTTAAAATATATGTGTAGAAAATGAGTAAAAATTAATTTAAAATTTTATAATTTTTTGTATTTATTTTCAGTTAAACATTATACAATTTAATGTCGTCTGTCTTATTTCCTATCTAGTCTCTAAATGTTTACATAGTTTCTTTTCCAAATGCAATGCATTAGCTAACTTATACTATTAGTAGAATGAAAATACTAGTAACATATTCAGTCTCTCTTTTCAATAATCTCCTTATAGTTGATATATTTAATTAGATTAAATTATATTCACTTTTATAAAAAAAAAAACATATCAGTATTTTTTATTTTACTAAATAAATTAAATTCTTTTAGTAAACATAAAACAGTTGTCAATGAAAATATAGGAATCATAATCAACTATGAATTTGTGATTAGATTGTAAATGACAATAGACGGTAGAAGACAAAGTTTATTTAAAAAGGGCTCAATTTTTTATTTATTTTGTGTTAAGAGATTCAATAGTTATTATTATTTACTTTTTTAATATGTATTCAAAAATCTAGAAGTATAAGTCGTTAAACTTTCAAAATGTAATGGATGGAAGAATGTAATATGTAACATATAATAGGATAACATGAGTGTTAGAAACCACATGAATAGGTTTTTAGTAAAATAAAACATAGCACTCTAAAGATATATTTTTTTAGATTTTTTAATGTTCAAGGTGAAAGTTGTGCAATAAATTTTTTTATTTGTAATAGTGAAAGCAATTGATTGGCTACCAATGCAATTGATTGGTTTACCCTTGTTTTGTCTAAAATCTCTTATTTCGTGTTTCTAAACTACCTTGGAAGCAACATAATTTGTAGCATGATGTGTATGCATTAGATTAACATCAATAAATCGAAAAACATGAGTTTTTATGTGTTTTAACTCAGAATCCCAATTAATGAGTTTGACAACTCGTAATGATGAACAAATAAATCTGTTATAAAGCTAACATAGAGACTTATGAGAGAGAGAAGTCTCTATAATTCTTCCACTATGATTTCCCCTTTTTGTCTGGTGAACCCCAACCATAAGATGATCTGATGGATGTTGTTCTGAGACTTGAAAGTGAAATAAGTTAGATTGAGACAGGTTGAGTGATAACCTTGCCCATGGACCTTGTGGCATGTTATAACATCTTATAGGCTTTAATGTATGATATATATATATATATATATATATATATATATATATATATATATATATATATATATATATATATATATATATATATATATATATATATTGGTTGTGATACTTGTGTGTATGCATGAATGATTAAAATCCTATGACGATGAGTGAGGTACGTGGATTCTCCATCCCCCTCCTCAAGTGCGTCGACGAATCCAAGGTACCGGGCATACTCCAAGAGATCCGTGAAGGGATCAAAGCCCAACACCTCGGCAGAAGATCACTTGCTCCTAAGGCCCTACGAGCAGGATACTATTAGCCCACCATGCAGCAAGACACCAAAGAGAACGTCAAGAAGTGTTGCAATGCCAACGGCATAGGAACATGCACCTGGCCCCTCCAAACGAGCTCAAAACACTTTCGTTGTCATGGCCATTTGCCTAGTTGGGGTGGACATCCTCGGGCCCTTCACCATCGGATCCTACCAAAATAAATATTTGATAGTCGACATCGACTACTTCACTAAATGGATAGAGGTCGAAGCCTTAGCCAAAATCACGACCCAAAACATACTCTATTTCTACAAACGAAACATGCTTGGCCGGTTCGGCGTACCCCAAGCCATCGTCACCAAAAACCGGACACAGTTCACCGACAAGAACTTCCATAACTTCGTTACCAGGTTGGGCAGGAAGCAACACTTCACGTCGGTCGAACACCCGTAGACGAACGAGCAAGCCGAAGTCGCGAACAGAGTGATTCCGCGCGGCCTGAAGTGAAGGCTGAGAGACGCCAATAATAGATGGGTCGAGGAGCTACACAACGCCCTTTGGGCTTACAGAACCACCCCGCACTAGACAACCAAGGAGACCCCATTTCGAATGACCTACGGGACGGAGGCAGTGATTCTGGTGGAAATAAGCGAACCTTCCAGAAGAACCGAGTCCCCCGTCCCTGAGGAGGCAAATGACGAGGCACTAAGGGAAAAACTCGACCTAGTCGAGGAAATCAGGTCGGGGGGATCCTTATGGGAAGCCTTGCTGAAATAAAGGATAACTTTGCGGCACGGCAACAAAGTCATCAAGCACGAATTCCAGGTGGACAACCTGGTCCTACGAAGGAACCAGAAGGATTCACGCGAGGACAGACTCGCTGCAAAATTTGAAGGCCCCTACCATGTCCGAGACAAAATGGGCAACGGGGCCTATTACCTCGAAAACCTACACGGGGAATAACTTGCTCGACCATGGAACGCAGAAAAACTCAAGCAATACTACAATTAGACACTGTCTACAACCCGTTGGCATCGCGACCACAGGGGCGCGACACAGTACAGACGCGGCTCCTAATTTTAAAAAAGTGAGAATATGATATTAAATTATTAATTAATTTGAATCACAAATCTTTAATTCACAACCGGTCTTTGATTTATCCGAAGGAAAGGTTAAAGAAAGGAAAAACCTATTTTTTTTGCATTATAAACAATACGGGGAGAGATCTAGGTAAGAGGTTGGTTAAGCTAGGGAAGATATTAGCACCCCTAAACTTTTGTAGTACTCTATAGAAACCTCTTGTTTAAAGTTTACTATTTTTCTTGATTATCTGCTTTAGGGTATATGCTAAGGGTTAAAGGTGAAAGAGAGACCTAAGGGTTAGTCCTAAGTTTACTCGCCAAGATTCGCATCTTGTGCCTACGTATCCGGGTAGGGGATGGAATCAAAGTAATTGTAGTTCTCCTCAAAAGGGAGGAAGAGAAACATCTTGAATATGATCAAGGTTTCAATGGGGAATAAGCGTTCATATGGAAGCGCTTACGTGGAGTGCGGCGACTCCTATTTCTACGTTGTAATGAGTTAAATTAGAAAGGGTAAGATATGTATTCCACGGCGGGAAACCTAATACGCAGTGTGGCGACTCCTTATCCTAATGCTAGGATAAAGGGTAAAACTGTCCACGGAGGGACGCCTATGCAGTTAGGGTTTTGGAAAGGGAAATGTTCAAAGGTAAGGACTATTAATACGGCGGTCAAACGGCTAGACCTATTCCTTCGGAAGGGATTTAACGATAAGTAATGTAATGCAAAATTAATTAAGCAATGGAATTGAAGTATGAGAAGGTGCAAGAATGATAACGGAACAAAAGTGGCGATTGCCTCGCATAAATTACAACCATGAAAAATGCAAGAATAATAATGAAATAAGTTTCCAAAGTGTCTTCATCAACCTCAATATAACGGAAAGAAGATAGGTTACTGACCATCAAATCCTACTCACCAAGTATGATAACTAGCTTTTCATCGACCACAAACTTCATCTTCTGATGCAAGGTTGAAGTTACTGCCCCAGCGGTGTGGATCCAAAGTCTTCTAAGCAGACAACTATAGTTGGGATTAATGTCCATGACTTGGAAAATGATATTGAAAACATGCGGACCAATTAGAATCGAAAGTTCCACTTCTCCAATCACAGATCTGCGAGAACCATCAAAAGCTTTGACAATTAGAGAAGTAGGCTTCACCACAGTTTCCTTGTAAGCTAACTTGCTAAGAACTCTCTTGGGAAGGACGTTCAAAGATGAACCGGTATCCACAAGCACCCTTGATAAGTTATCCTCTTGACACTTCACTGATATATGTAAAGCACGGTTGTGATTCGGACCCTCTCTCAGCAGCTCCTCATTGCTGAAGCTGAGAGTGTTACAGGCAGCAATGTTGGGAATCACACTATCAAACTGACCGGTGGTAATATCCTGAGCGACATGAGGTTGAGTAATACTTTCTGCAAAGCATCCCTATGAGCGAGTGAACTCATCAACAGAGACAAGATAGAGATCTTTGAAGGAGTCTGATGAAGTTGATCAATAACTTTGTAATCACTTTTCTTAATGATCCTCAAAAACTCAGCATCTTCATCATTCGTAGCTGCCTCTTTACCTTTGTCTTTGGAAGGCACATCAGTAGTGGTAGTCGTTTCCTTAGGCGGAGCCTCATTGAAACGGGGAGTATAAACACGACCACTGCGAGCCATCCTACTTGCCCCAGCTATGTTAGTTACAGTTTCACTATTAGTCTTCACTTCTTCCCTCTAAATGACCCTCCAAGATTCTTTGTCAATCATGGTCACATCGTATTTCCAGGGTACAATTTTGGGATCACTGAAAGGAAATGGAATTGGCTTCTGAATAATTAACGGCTTT